GCTATTAATTTTGCATTGCTGCATTCGTGCGGATTTTGTGGCATTTATGACAGCCATGCAATGCTGCCAGCTAGGAGCCACCTGTCTGCCTGTTGGCCTGTCAGTCTGTCTTCCTCTTCGCTTTCGCCAAACTGTTGCCACCTTTCACTCTCTGGGCTCAGATGTCAGCTGTGTGTGTCTTGTCTAGACAATGTCTGGCTGGCATTATCAACACATTTATATGAAACTTAATCTAATAAAATTGTCAAATATGCACGCAGAGCCATTCATTGTTCTTCTTCTTCGTCTTCTTCTCTTTGCCTTAAAGAACATTACTCTCGCCATTTTTTGACCTTAAACTTGAGCGCGCTAAAAAGTATGCTAAGACTTCTGAATTATTCATAAATAGTATATGTATGTCTGTGTGTAAGCGCCAACTCAAAAAAAGGAAGAAGAAAACTGTCGACGTCACCGGTAACGGCACCCGCGACATTAATACATAATAAAATTTATGATTTTTATAGCTTGCGCACTGAGATTTCTGTCTACCTCAGCTCACTGCCCCGCCTCTCTCGCCCTCTTTAACCACAACTGCCACGCCTGCCAGCTTACGGCGTGCGTTGACAGTTTCCTTTTGGCTTTCTCTCACTTTTTTTCCAGCAATTTTTTGTTTACTTTTGGCACCTTAAAAGCAAAAACCGTAACCAAACCCAAAAAAAAAAAAAATTAAAATGTAAAAAAAAAACCAACCGTTGCACGCTTTCAACTTTCAATGTGCTTTGCATTTCTAAATAGTTGACGCCAGTCTAGGTAACATGGCTTAAAGCAAATATGAAATTGTAATAGACCGACTAGATAATGCTCTGACATACATAATTATCCCACTTAAGAAGCTTTCGAAAAGCTGCAGGCTCTACAGACAACAATATTTATATTGATATGTATACTCAAAAATATCTGAAAATCAGACAAAGAGTATCTTACAGTCGGAGTCCTGCTCGCTCGCAATGTTTGTTTTGTGCTCTAGCCAAAATCGTGGAGGAGTGGCACACCGGACAGGCACGTGGAACACGACTGTCGCCGGAAAGTTAATTTCGCGTTGTATTTATTATTTATGTGCATTACTTGGGTGCTCTTAAAAGATTTTCACTTAGCCGCCGGCTGCTTTTAGAGCAGCCAAATGATTTATAGCTCAAGCTTTACAGATTTCAATATAAAGATTACCTGCAAAGTGCTACGATTTTTAAAAAATAGTATTTGAATTAAACAAAAAATGTGAAAAAGAAATCAGGCTTACCTGATGCAATGGTTTGAATAGAACCTGCTAAGATGGCTGAGTTTATAAATTTTTTCGTTGTCAAGTCAAACAAAGTGACGTTAATACATAATATAATGTATATCATATATCGTTATCATTTAAGTTTGTTAATAGAAGTTTGCCGGGGAGCCAGAATTTTCATAAGAACGGTAATCGGTATGGCAAAGTATGGCAATATCATAGGATATTTAATATTTATTACAAATAAAATGCATTGCTCTTTAAAAGAGACAATTCGTGCCGCGCCACATAATCTGGTAAACCCAACCGCTCTCCGTATGCACTCATAGTGGTTGGAAAAGAGAGTAGAAAATCACATCAAGCTTCGGAGTTCAACATGTTCAGCATCGATCGCTGCTCTCATTCGTACTATGGCATATTATTTAAGTGCTCATCCTAGTTTTGGGTGATATACTATAGCCCTCACTAGGATCATTATGATTTGATTGCAAATCAGAATTGCTTAAGCAGGTGCAAAGTTTATTAAGATTCTGTCACCTTTTCTATAATAAACTGAACTTAAAGTGTCTTCAACACATTCTCGCTTTGTCGCCATTTATAAAGCCCATAAATTAGGCGCATTTCGTTGTGACATTGAAAATCTGTGCAGACTCTAAGACACAATTAAAAACGAATTTAATTAAAGTTTGTTTCAGAAGCCCTCCCACACACACACACACACACACACACACACACATAATCTGAGTGAATTTCAATTTGCCAATTTGTGTGGCTTAAAATTTTGCTGAACGCTTTTGCCTAATTGGATTTGCACCTTCAATGGGTTAATGATGGCTTGCTGGCAGCCAAGTAGGCAGGCAGGCTGGCAGGCAGGCAGGCAGGTATTCCAAGTACTGCCTTCTTGTTCGATTGTCTGCTGATTAAAATCGTATTAATTAACACTCATTTGGCTGCTGAGCGAAGCGCTATCCAATCAAAGACAATGGGCAAAGGCAACTAGCAAAGGCAACTGGCAATGGTAAATGGAAATAGTGGTTCGCCCCAAAGTCTACGTAGGTCATACGCCCCGTCGGATCGTCTTGTGAGCCGTCTGTGAACTTAATCATTTGGCAAATTCGTGCGTCTGTTTGGCTTGCAGCTGTAGGAGAGTGTGAGCGTGAGTATGCTTAAATTTGCTTTTAATTAGTGCTCAAGCCAGGAGTGGGAATGAGAGGCGAAGTGGGAGTGGCAGTGAAAAGGCAGCTGCAGTTGGCACAGCATGTGCTGGCCGCTGTCTGTCCCGCTGGCATTCGGTATTCGGTATTCGGGAACAATGCGTCAAAGTGTTGTATGCAAATAAGCAGCAAGTCGCAGCAAGTCGCAGCAGCTGTGCGCCGCAGCGTCTTAAGCAGCGCCCACAATGAAACAACGCGAATGTTGCAAATGGTATGCGCTCTCTCTTCCTGTTCCTCCCTTCCCTCTCTCTCGCTCTCTCTCTCCCTCTCTCAACGGACATGTTTGATTGCGAGTGCATGTTGTGCATGCATCATGGCAAGTGACCGGCCACAGAGTCAGCTTGGGCTCGAAGCAGCAGCCATAGTTGGAGTCGCAGTCGCTGCCATGGCGAGGCCTGTCAGTGCATGTGGTGCATATTAAATGTGCATATTCACAAATGACTGTGAGGAAGGGGCGGAGCTCAAGTGCAGAGCTCAAAGTGCGGTCAGAATGCGTAAATGTTGAGAAATTCCTTAATGTTTACCAAGAGCTCGAAGATGAAACTAAATGTAAGCGCTAATCACATAGAGGAACTAAGCATAAATGAATAGGCAAATCAGTTCATTGAGAATGGGAATCTTATATATTAATATATACATGACTTAACAAATAGTATAGGTTATTCCACAAGTTAACATTTCTCACATTCATATACAATTTATATTTAACCAGCGACATTTTCAGTTGATATTCATTTTTCAGCCGGAGTCTCGTGTCTCCTTATGGCACAGTAAATGCGCATATAAACTCATTATGTGCCCCTTCTTAGCTCCACAGACACCAATTTCATTTAATGCCGTCCATTTACAATGATGTTCAAAGAGAAAATGTTTCTTTTTTTTTATACCCTGTTTTTAACTGTAATTAAACTGCAATTTTGCACTGACGACTCCGTTGACAATTTACTAAAAATGAACTCCCAAAGGCGTGTCCAAATGAACCATACGTTGACATCTGCGACGACCTTAGCCGAGCCAAAGTCAGCCAAAGTGTTGAGTACGTATACCCATCGGAGGTAAACTTAACTGGAAGTCAGTTTTAAAAGTAAATTATTTACTCAAAGTTATTGCAAAATCAGATAACTAAATGGGATAGCTCAAAAAGGTTTTTAAAAAACACAGACATTTTTTATATTATAAAATTTTGTATGAAAATTTTGTAGCAGACTTTTTAAAATTATTTACTTATGGAAAACAACTTTTTAAGTTGTTAAAATATGTTTTTGTAAATTTTGTTTGTATAAGTATCTTTAAAAACGTATACATTATATATTTATAATAATAGCATTTATTTTTATATATTTATCTATTTATTTAATTTTTAATACTTATTTATACTATTATTTAGTATTTAATTTTATTAATATAGATTTTTTCTTTTAAAATACGTATTTTGTCTAATTCATTGTTCATATAATTCATAAAAATATCGAAATCCAATCGGATCCTTAAAAAATTTATATAAAATATTTCATATCAATTTTTATTCTTGTCCATTCAATAAATACCACAATTTTTCGCACACTTCCCCAACAAAGTATTCCATATGCTCCCTGGGTAAGGGCACCGTTGTGTCCGTTGGGCAACGCGTGCGCTTGTATTTTCATTAAAATCAAAAGTATAATTAAATTCTTGGAGCTGAGCAAAGCTGGCCAAAGGAACGTCCGCTCCTGGTAATGCCAGCGCTACGCAGCGCACACATGCTGAGAATTTGTTTGTTATGACAGCAAAAAAAAAAAAAAGGAATGAAAAAAATAAAACAAACAAAAAACTGCAAATGGAATACGTTTTCCTTCACATGTCAAGGGACATGGACGAGGGACCAGAGACAGAAGAGGGTGTTAGCCCAGTAGCTCTGACCATTAGACAAATACGACATGGCACATGTTGGTTGACGTTTTATTATTTTATTATTATTTTCTTTATTTCGCTTTGAAATTACTCGTAAGAGTCATTTACGTTAGTGCTTGCTTTTAATGAAGTGCACTGATAGAAGTCAGGGAAGTCACGACAAACGGAATGAAAAACTAGCGAAAATTTTAGTGCAGCTTGAATTGTGACCAAGTCTCGTAAGGATCAATAATTGAAGCCAACACACAAACACACTCACACACACCCAGCGGCAGTCAGTCAACAACACTTGTATAGATTTATGAGCCAAGTCAACAACAGAAATCAGAGTCCAGAATTCTGTTCAGTCAATAACATTGTTGAAACTTCACTAGCGGCTGTTTTTTATCCTGCACAAAGTACACACACACACACTTGTGTTTCTCAATCAAACAATTCATAAACATATACATATATTTACTGTACATATATGTGCACTCACACACATATACGTAAGTGTACAGGCACATAAAAACTGCATTGTTGCAATCAATTTTACGAGGGTGGCAAGTAAAGTTTATATGGATACCTAGTTGTGCCGGACATACCTATTATATAATATATATAAATAAATAAATAAATAATATTAATGAACTTACCTAACATATTTTTCGTGAACGAATATAAAACTTAATCGACTTACTTTGATCACGACAAAAATCTGCAAATAAAAAAAATAGAAATCAATTAATGTTGAGCTAAAAAAGAGAAGAAAATAGATTGACAAAAATAGAGAAAATGAATTAAATATCAAATTAATTACATTAATTTTTTTTTAATTATTAGTTTTTTAAGTAAACAATTTATTTTACATTTTTGTACAATTGCTAAATTAAATAAAAAAATTAAAGGTATTAAAAAAAATTATCTAATTGAATTTTAAAAATTAAAATAAATATATATATATATTCAAATTATTTTATGTAAATATAAATGTGTAAGAAATTAAAAATTAAAAAAAAAAAAAAATGATTTCAGTAAGTGTTTAACTCAATAATATTGTTTAATATTTTGTAATTAAAAATTTTTAAACAATAATAGTGATTAAGTACTGACTTACTTTGGATCATATCTAAACCTGTTAAATATAATTAAAAATATTTGTGTTTACCGTAAGGTTTTATATTAATAAAAAACACTGCATTAAGTTTTATCTTAAAAATTGAATTATACTAGAATTATATTGAATGATTGATTGATTATTTAATTTATATAAGTGTCATATATTTAAAGTAACCATGCAATGCTATGTTATGTCTTATTATGTTATTCCGTTATCATTAAAAATATACGTAGTTTACCAATTATTTCAGTATAATAAATTTCAAATTTCTTCCCCATTTGTCAGCTAGTTCTCGAAACACTCTCGCTTATCTGACTGCTTTTCATGATTGTCTGAGTGTATATGCATTGTAGCTAGCAGAATTGTATTGTTTTATTTGTACTTCAAATGCTAAAAAACAGACACACTTAATATTGTTTGCCAAATGTGGCAGTGCTCTGCTCTAGGCCACTGTGTGTTGCACTTTAGCAGCCGTTTAAGTTGAACTAGACAGCAACAACAACGGCCATAGCAACGGCAATAGCAACGGCAATAGCAGTCTCATGTCCTGCAGCCAATTGTAGTGTCCATTGTATTGTGTTAACTGTACTGGACTTATCTATAGCCTTACCCAATCCCACACCAGACACTGACAAGATTTATTTACTGTTGCCAAGCGGAACTACTATTAGAAAACAGCATGCCCATCTATCTATACATAGCAAGAGATGCCAAAAAAAAAAAAATAAATAAAAATAAAAATAAATTAAATAAACCGGCAAGGGTTCTGCCAACAAAATGTCTTTCAAGTTATATATATTTGAATATATTGCCACAATAACCACAAATACTTCACTCAAGCATTTCATTTCGATTTCGTAACATTTTGTCAGTTGTACTTAGCTTAGATAGAATTTTATATGCTTGGCAATTATGGGCAAATTGTAAATCTCAACAGCGCAAATAAATCAGCTTTATTACTGGGCCAGCCATATTTACAGCTGAGCAAAGCATTTCATTTGACTTATTGTTGACAAGCTTTTAAATAAATTGAATTTACTGACAGATCCACAGCCAGAGCAACAGACCTCTGGCCTAGACCTGGCCAGAACCTGGCCTCGACCTGTCCTCGCCACGCCTTGCCTCGCCTCGCCTGGCCTGGCCAGGGCGCTTCCCGCGCTTGGCAAACATTTGCCAACGATTTACGAGTGCTACTTGGCCCACAACAACCGACAACCAACAGCCAACCGACGACTGCCCCACTCCCCTGGCCTTGTAATGCGGCAACAGCCAGCAAACTGCAAATTGCTACAAAATCACTTAACTGTAAATTTTTATAGCATCTTTTTCGCCGTACTCAAAATGCAAAGGAAAACAATGCTAACAGGGCAACATGTGCTCTGAGAAACGTTTTAGCCATAATATTGTATTACGTGCCTTTAATTATATATATAGAAGAGCTAGGCTAGGTTTTTTTTCTTTGAAAATAATATTTTAGACATTTTATGTTAGTGTCTCAGAAAATAATTAACTTCATATAAATATTATTTCTAAATATATATTACAAAAATCTATTTTTTAAATATTAAGCAATATGATTATAAATATATACATTGAATTGGTTTGAATTCAATTGGTTTTTTGAATAACGTGCTTTTATTACTTAACAAAAACAAGGTTTTTTTTTTAAGGTTAGAAAATAGCTTACAATATAATATATATATTTTTTTGGAAAACATATTTCTTTTCAATTTTCACAGTTTAAAACATCCAGTTCAATTCAATTCAATTCAATTGGATTTCCTTACAAATGTATAGCAAATAAGTTCTTAAGAATTTAAAATTAAAAAATAATTAAAAACCAGGGTATAATAAAAAAAATAACATTTGAATATGGTTTATAATTTTTTTAGTTTTCAATTTCAATTTTTATAAGAAATTTCTAGAGTGAATAAGATAACAAAAAAAAGGTAAAATATATTCATATACTTATATGTTTAGATGTAAAAGATGAAGAAAAAAATATTTGTATAATTTATTAAGAATACGAATACATGAAAAAAATACGAAAAAGAGAAACCAAGGCAAATAAGATAATCTTGAGAGCTATAGGTAAACAGAATAATTCGAATGAGCTTGCATAAAATTACTTGCTCAATTTCTTCTATCGCACTCGCTCTCCCTTTCGCTCCCAGCTCTATATGCCGCTCTCTTTCGCTCTAAGGCAAACGAAAAAAAAAAAAAAACAATTGTCAGCTTTAGCGTCTCTCAGCACAGCCATTTTGTTGTTGGCAGTTAAGAGCTCCATTGCGTTTTATGATGGGATTGCGAGGATTGCGAAGCGTTTGACTGTTTCGTTGTGGCGCTGCTTAACCAGCCAAACCTGTTCGCTTGGCCTTTTTGTGGCTTTACGGCTATTTTGCATCAAATTGCAAATGAAATGCCAAAAGAGAAAAAGGGCCTAACCAGAGCAGAGAAGGTGCGTGTGACTGTCATCCGTGTGCATTGTAACGCTGGCATTTTAATTGAAGTTTTCACACACACACACACATGTGCACATTAAAGTAATAAATGGCATTCGCTGGTTTGCTTATATTTGATTCTTTTCTCTCTCTCTAGCACACTATATATATATATATATATATATCTCGCTAGCTGTGTCAGTTGTTCTATGCATATTTAAATGAATGAGGCCAGCAGTTGAGTTGGGGGTTGCCTTTGAGTGAGGCCTTAACATTACAACTGGAATATGACACCTGAGATTGACCAAAATGAGCTCGTTCAGCTGGGGCAGAGCTGGACATGCTATCTGCGTAATGCTTTGTGGCTTTAATAGCAAACAAAGGCAAATGTGGTTGGTTTATTGTGGATTTAGAGATTAAAGATGTAGATGCAGAGCTTTATCTATAAAATGTGTGAGCTATTTGAATATATAAATTGGAACTATTTACTTATTCATATGTTTTAGCCGTTTATGATTGCTGTAAATATTAAACTGGGCTTGCAATATTCATAAAGATTTTGGCCAGCAATGCAAACAAATATAATTTCAGTTGATTGAAAATCATTTCAAGAGACTGTTTCAGTAAAGATTTAATACAAATAAACCAAAATAAAAAATTGCTTAAAATACACGTGTATCTCTCTCACAACTTGGACAACTGTTCAAGTTTTAACATCCTGACCTGTTTAGTACTCTCAATCAATCTCAACGATGCCTGAATTTCACACAGACATTATTAAGCTGTTGGTAACAATTTGAGCAGCCCATCCAGTTGCATAAGCTACACCTAATGCCGGAAGCTTAGTACACTTTCAGGTGCCTCGATTGCCCACTTCATAAATAACAAATTAGCAACATTTGTGTGGATTCACAGGCAACTATTAAGAACCACTAACTGTCCTTTGGCTGCAAACCTATGCTAATCGCACAAAACTTTTCAACATTCGTTTGACCTTTTTTTACGTATGTGTGTGTGTGTGTTTGCTTTAAGCTTTTTATTATATGCTCTTTTACGGCGTGTAAGCCTTTTGCCAGCTACTGGCCCTGATAATATGTGTTTAATAACCACATGGAACTGGGCAAAGTCTGCCCACCTGTCGGTTGTCTTAGTTTCCTGCTACATATCAAATTTGCCAATGTACAAAACAATTTCCGCTTCCGGCCATTTTGTCTGCATGCTCTCCTGCATTCAACCCAAATTCGAAAGGTTAACAAAATTTGTGTTTGGTCCAAAAACTTACGCATGATTGTTGTTGGCCTTAACCCTTGTGCGACTGTGTGTGTAAAGCCCCGCGGGCGCGTTTGTCTGCAAAGTTTGGCTTGCAAATATCAGTGCCTAGCTCGAGGCAGCTTAATCAAATATGCGTGCAATGGCATTTCATTTTGTTTACCACGAGCACAGCTGCTCAGTGATAAGTGTCATACATGGGTTTTGCTTATCCGTGGCGCAGGTTACTAACGCGCCACCGAACCACCTAGCCACCGAGCCACTCGCCTTGCGGCAGCAACCACTTCAAATGTCAGTTAATAAATTGCAAAACGTTTTTCTGCGAATCGACAAACCGAGCCGAGCCAACCCAACAGCCGCCCAGCCACCAACTGCACTTAATGTCAGTGACACACAGACAAACAGCAGCTGAGGCGCTGCTGCCAAACAGCGGTAGGGAGCAGGAGCAGGAGCAACAGCAGGTGTAGAAGCCGGAGTCCTGGGCAGACAATGAAGTTGCCGCTGTTGACATGAAGCGTGACGAGAACAAGGACCCTGCGACCCTGCAACTCGATGCCGTGTGCCGCAACAGACATTTACAAATAAACAGCGCTAAATTATAGGTGCCTCGTGGGTGAGTGCCAGGCGCTGCAAGCCAGCCCCCCGTAACCCAGTACACATCCCCCCGCCCCCAGCACCCAGCTCCCAGCTGCTGTTGCTGTTGCTGTTGCTGTTGCTTCTCCTGCCACTTGTAAATAATATGGCAGACTACACCTGTAGACGACGTCGTCGCTATCGTCTAACTTTTAACTACAACAACAACAACAGCAGTTACTGGCATACCAATTACAGCAGCAACAAGCCCGACTAAATAAAAAACTTCATGTATGATAACGAAACTGGTATGATCT